GGAAATATGTTGATTAGTGTGCTTTCTCATGTGTAACAAGTTGTTCTGGAAATATGTTGATTAGTGTGCTTTCTCATGTGTAACAAGTTGTTCTGGAAATATGTTGATTAGTGTGCTTTCTCATGTGTAACAAGGTTGTTCCGGTCTACAGCTGTTGGAAGTTTGTGGAACCTTCTTACCTTATCTGTAACTATCACTCACAGCTTACATCTTTATTTGTATCAACAGCATTACATGAGCCAATTTACTGTACACATCATGCATACATTATTTTTTATTGCATTTAGCACAATAATTAAATGATAAAATGGGGCCTTCATTAGAATCAACAGCCCCTTGTTGATAACATTTATGATGTTAGAAAAACCTACTGTGCTAACAACTGTAGCTGAGATTTCATATCAGAAGCTGAATCCAACAAGGTTTCCACTTGATGAACAAAAGTATGAAGCCGAGGATCTGATGGAAGATCGGTGACTGTGGGATCCATCACTGAACCAGGTGGGCTGGATGGTCTATAGAAACATTATATATGGAAATAAAAGGAGACTATAACCGTTTCAGATTACATCCAAGTTCATTAAAGTCTTAAATATAACTGCTTCAACTCTGACTCAAAACTGATTTTATATTTTTTAAGAACTAACTCCACTTTTACTAATTCAGTTCTACAATTACACAGAAAACTTACAGAATACAGTTTATTAGTGAATATAAGCATGCTACATGTTAACAGTAGTTTTTACTTGTTCAATCCAAGAAAAAATCATGAAGGAAAAATTTAATTTTGAAACCATGAGGTACATACACATTCTTTTGTAACTGTGAGGTTTTGGTTTTCATCTGAGGTGAATCTTTCGTATCTTGCTCACTAGACAATGACACACTTGCTTCAGAACTAAGGATGAAATAGATAACATCTTTTCCAAACAGAAATACTAAACATTAATAGGCACTTATTAAATTGTAACATCAAAAAATCACTTTTCTAAGAGAGATATTGTATGTGAATATCAAAACTGGAATTCACATCCAAAATCTACATCAAAAAGTAACACTATTTTGTAAAGAATGAGTAGTACAGAATTGCCTTAAACAAACTGTGACATTTTAAATATGAAATTTATCAAAAGCTATATACAAGCAGAATGTATCAGATTCTTACTTTGTTGATGTACAACAAGGAAGTGAAGGAAAGATGGTTGTGTTCACTATCAAAACAGGCCGTCTTGCATCTACTGGCCTGGACCTGTAATCTTCTAAAGTACCAAACATTTCTCCTAGTCTCATAGCTCCAGTGTCATAAAAACCATCGTATGTGCTATCACTGGGCTCTAAAACACCAAGAAATGCATACTTAGCTGAAAGGTGGTGGGACAAGATATTCTCTAATGCCTTGTTGGCAGCCTCACGTACCTCTGGACGGGACTTATCCTCAATGAGCTGTTGAAGTATACCAACAGCACTGTTCGAAACAAAATCTATTACAATACAATCTGAAATTTCCTAGGTTAAAGATAAAATCTGTTTGCATGTATACTATTAAACCATTAACTGTGCAAAGACAGGTATAACAGAATTCAGGGTTTGATATTTGTTATTTGGTCTATTACGTTTAAATGTTACATTTGCTAAGCTTAAGTACTTACTTACACTATTACATCTATTTTAAATAAAAAAGATGTTTAGAGAAAGCTGGTGTGTTTAAAATGTCCTTTAAAAAAATATTTTTTTTAACTTAGGTAATGCTTGAGACAACCACTTTTTGTCAGATGTAAATCTCTACTTAGGTCTTATGAGAGGTTGTGTGAAATGTAACCAAGATAAAAATATTTTTCCCAGGTGGAATTATTATATCTATTACAATTGGTATGTTTCAGTGTTTCCTGTTGGCACAAATACCTCATTAAGAAATTAATTCTTGATAGTATGGTTAACGGTAATGAACACAGCCACTGAAGTATATTGTAAGGTGAAAGAAGAGGTAACTTACCTTCAGTAACGGGTCTGTGGTCCATTGAAATATATTATTATTATTATTAGTGTAATTATGATGAAATTCCTCAATATTTTCTATCTTTTCAATAAAAGACTTCCTATGCTACAATTCACTGAAAATGGTTAAGTCCAGAAAGACATACAACAAATTTATGATTCTTTAATTTCCAAAAATTGAGCTTTCACACAACTCTGGCCAAATCTATTCATTAAGCTCTCAACATGAATGATGAATATTGGTAATAAAGCTTCATAACGTAAAAATCAAAAAATATATCATGCTTTTTCAAGTGTGATAAAGGATCCTGAATGTAAATAAATTAAATATAAATTTTGACTATTTCTTTTATAATAAAGTTTGAAAAAATAAAATGGCCTTTACACTCCAGATAATTATGATAACTGTTACTTTAACTGACATTTTGCTTTTGTTGCTTCTGCAGAGCAAGTATATAAAACTGTTTTATGTACTAGTCCTGAAGAAATTACAAAGAAGAAACATCAGTTAAATTAAAATTTCTATTATAATTATCTGGAGGTTAAAGGTCGTTTATTTTTTCTAACTTTATTATTAAAATGTGTAAATCCCTCTAGTTTGCACTACAAATTCTGAAAGACAAAAAAAATGGACTTTTTCAGTTATTAATTTTAATATTCTAGTGATATTACTGTACCCATTTTTAGTAAACTCTTGAGCAACCACTGGAAGAGATGCTGCTGACTGGATAAGCCAACAAATATTGAGAACAACAAAAGGATTCCATGAAGACAGTAAACTAAGTAATGTTGAAATAGGAGAAAGTTCTTCACTGAGGAGCTAAAAATTGAAAAACAGACAACATTTTCATTGTAATTATCACATTATTACTACCAGCTAGACTGGAATTACACGAGCATCAAAGTTAAATAAAGAAATTCAAAGTTTTATATTCTAATTTTTCAATACCTTAAAACAGACTTGTAAAGTTCAAACATCATACATACTAGGTGTTAAGTGAGACTGATCAACAAGATAATTTTTTAATTACACAGAAGCTTGTACCAGCTGGACCCTCTGTGTTTACCCCTGAGAGTGGTTACATTCATTTCAAGGGATGATACAGTGACTTGTATCAGTTAGCATTTTCTCTGCTGTATATTTAGAATGTTTGTTGACAAAGGTAATCTAAGGATTGTGGGATACAGCACAAAGGCCCTGATCTTACTTGAAAGTGTGGTATTTCATTATTCTTGTTCTCATCCTTGTCCTGTGTAGAAATTTATTGAAGCCTTTTCTCTACCTCTATAACCACTGTGAGTTTATTATAACTAATACAGAAGCCAGCCAGTAAATAAAACTCATAATTCAATTATGAATACAGATATTGTTATATTTCTTATCCTTTACTGTTTGTGTTCAAATTTATTTTCTGCATAACATTTCCAGAACCTGTGTTTTCCAAATACTAGATTTCTCTCTAGTTAATATCAGTGATTACCTAAATATTTATAGTTTTATACTTCTATATCAAATTTCAAACTGAGTAAACAAAATTTTGAATAGATGATAAAATAGTTGTATGAATATTTTTGTTTTACAAGGAATCCAATATACTAAAACAAGATAATACGAATGGGTCTTAAAAAGTTTTTTTTAACAGAGATAGCTGTACATAGTAAATATTATTCTATTGACTATACACAAATAAGACTGCAAAGTTCCTTAGGTACAGATAAATATAGTAGGCTTATTATAATGAAAGTTCAAATGCAGGAGCACTGCTATGTATAAGGGGAACCTCCAATTTTAATAAACACTAATCCATTAAAAAAGATTTCTAAAAATATTAACTTGTATGAAAATAGTTGCTAAAATTTTCAATAAAAATTAGAATTAATAATAATTAGTCTTAATTATGAGTGACAGGCAAACCATGCAAAGCCTCTATGACCACTCCTGCCTTAGATAATCAGTTGGATATCCCCCTTTTTTTTTAGGTCATTTGGAAATTAAGAGCAGATACATTTAAGAAGAATAATAGAAGGCATTTATTTACACAAAGAATCAAAGATGTTCGTAACAAACTGCCCAGTCATGTTGATGAAGCTAAATCTCTGGTATCCTTGAAAAAACAACTTTATGAAATTCTCGGATCAGCAACTAAATGAGTAGGTTGAGCCAAATGACCTCTGGTAGTTGTAACCTTTCTTATATTCTTAGTTGGTAGTATTAATATGGTCAATAATTGAGTTCATACTTGGCTTTTTGGACTTTCCTGAACCTGCTGGTAAGTTCCCAGCATTTGGTGAAGATAATCATGTTTGTTCAGTACTTTCATCAAAATGATACAGAATTTATTACAAACAAAGGAAAATGGCAAAATTAATCAACTGTGTTCATCTCATTTTTTATTCAGAAGTCTTCTTTGTTTCTATGTATAATTGAAAAACGATAATTCAAAATAGGAAAAAAATCACCAAAAAAAAAGTGGAAGGAAGAAGCTGCAAAAACAGGAAGTGGGCAGGGATGCTAAAGATATCTTTTTTTTACTTGGCCTAAAGGATAATTAACAGAAATGATGTTTTCCAAATAGTAGCATATTAAAAATTTGTTTTATAATGTTTATATGTATGTATAGTAATACAATAAAAGTCTCTCTTAATTTTTCATGGGTTTCCCAAAATTCCTAAGATGGAAAATCATCTATAGATAGAAAACTCCCACCCCTGTCTGCTCAATACAAACTGTTTAAACATTAACACTTCAATGATGGTTCACTTATGATGTGGAGTGGCCTGCAGATCTTATTGCACTTCTTATTGCTTGATGCTATATTAATGAAGACAGTTGTATGACCTTCTGGAGGTGCATGCTCACACTGAACTTTGTCCTTATTCAAGTTAACCATCTATTCACAAGCCTGTATCTGTGAAGCTATACAGAATAATGTTAACTATAATTCTGAATTTACTATGTGTATCTTCACATAATTTGGCAATCTTTTAATTATGTATAGTTTGTTTTGAAATAGTTAAAAACTGTAACAGCCTATTTTTGAAGTGGAGAAATTAGAGCTCACGTGACACAGAAAACTTTGATAAACTTTTAGTAAGCATTACAAGTCTGTTTTACACAAAAAATCAGATTTTTTATTTTACTAAAGACTTGTCTGTGAACTACAAACTTTTATGAGTCAGTCTTAATGAGAGGTTATTTTCATGTTAAGAATCGAAATATTTTTTTTCATTTTGCAGTTTATATATTTCATCTGCATATCCTCTAGAACCTCCTAAATGAATATTAAAAGTTTTGTTTGGTAAAACCTAATATTTCTCTACCCTAACACTAACTCTAGTGAAACCATCAGTGTAAAGTGAAACGTGGGAAATAAAATGAATAATATGATGTTTTCCCTCTGCACTGACCTCAGTATAGATTGGAGAGATCAATCCTTATCTTAACAGTTTCAACTGTTAACCTAGTTTTATTGTTGTACTTTGAAGAACTGGAGAAATAATCTTCCATTAAAAACATATATCACAACAGAAACCCATTAGCTGTTTCCTGTTGTGAGGTTTAATGTTACACAAATGCTGGAGCTCATGAAATTTTAACATTTTGATGAAGCTTTGCTAGGTTAAGATGATAAATTTATAATTTTTAACTTTCAGTTAGTTTTGTTAAAAAAGTATATATCAGTACATCTAAAATTTACATAAAAACAAGGATTTGTATAATTATTTTATATTTTTTTTGCATTCAACACAGTTCTTTCCTAAATCTCAAGTCTCACAAAACTACTACAATTTATTCAGCTTTCTAAGTAAGCTAAAAATAGGTTAAAAACATTTTGTTATCCATTTGGAGCAAAAACACAGTGACCATGAACTAAGAAATTCTTATCAAGTAAATACTCTCCCTATCAAAACAGGAAAAACAATAGTAAGTTTCATGCTCTTCTTATTAGTTATAAACATGTAAAGTTGATTAGCAAACAATCTTGAAAGTCAGAGAGATGTAGAAGAGGGGCATCTCTGGTGGGTTTGACAAATGTCATCTCTGAAAATCAAGAAGTTATGAAATCCAAATTTTAGATTCTTGCCTTTAATTATGTATATTTTGTTTTTAAATGGTTAGAAACTGTGACAGCCTATTTTGGAAGTTAGAAAATTCTGAAGTGGAGAAATCAGAGCTCAGATGACACAGAAAACTTGTATACTATAAAATTTTGAATTATAAACTATGTTTTCTCACCAAGTTCAGTGACAAACATTGAAAATAAAATTGTTTAATTAAATATTGAGTGCAACACTATAAAAGTCTGTGACACGAGCAAGTGGTCCACTCCTGTACACAGTCAAAGCAAACTTTTCAGCTTAATGTAAGTTACAGTCACAATACTTACAAAGATTTGATAGTAAGAAAACATCACTAAATGATCAAAATTGGATGAAAAAACATAAAGATTAGAGACATTAAGAAAAATTACAATATACATATGTCCAATTGAAAACAATTTATTCTTTCAGATAAAAATAGAATATTTTCAAGAGCAACAAATGAAAGATTAGTAAGGTTGACCTAGTGCAATTAAAGGAAAATACAGCATTTTAACAAAAGCAAGAAGTAGTAGTTATAGATATTGTTGCATATAAATTACTTGTTTTTCATGAAAACAAAGGAGGCTATAAAAACCAATTGTGCATTCTATCATTTCTTACATTCTGAAAAACAAGCACAGTGACAATAATGGGGGTTTTTCTAGATGGTTTACTGGTTTCCCAAAGAACAAAAACTGCTCTATAGTCTCCTCAGACTCCTTTGTTCTTACATCTACAGATAAACATTTCTGATGATGTAAAAAAGTTTTAAATATAATATCTCACACACACTATTGAGCAGCTATCTTTTTGAAATACTAACAGAATTTGCTATTATTATATTACAGGCTTTTTATAACTTTATATAGTTAATTTCAGTCTAATAAGTAATGAAGTTTATTCAATTGAAATCTGCTTAAAAAAACAACTTAAATCTGTGTAAACACATTTTACACTAATGCATCTTCTCATTCTTCTTAGGAATGATGCCATTTTGATTAAATCATGTCAAGCACTTAGTGCCTTTTTCCTTAATGTTGAGGCCATAAACCAGGTGAGGTATTGTGTTTGTATATCTCTTTTATATTTGGTCACACATAATGCAAGTAACTGGTTACACATAGCACTTTTGAGTTTAAAACAATCTGCTTTGGTTTACAGTAGAACTGTTACACTTGTAACTGTTAATTATTTGCAATATATGTAAGAATCAGAAGATTAACTTGAATAAAAGCATATTTTTTCACAATTATCTTCAAAAATCACTGTGTCTTTCCATCTAATATCCACAGACAACCACTGTAGGTAATGATTGAGAACAGAGGTGGAATTCTGCCAGTACTCACCAGTATTGAGTACCCTAACTTATTATTTAAAGTGACACTAGTAAAGGAACTTATTCGAGCTTCTTTGTTGTTTTTTATGTTTACACATAGATTTTCTTTTTCAAAGACAGGTCCACTTCACCCAGCTGAGTACCTCTACTTGTTGTTTTGAGAAGTTCACCCCTACTTGAGAAGCCTGTTGTGTTGGTATTTTCAAGTAATTTCTTTGTATACAATTAGTTAACTGCTTACCTAAGATAATGTGCTATTATTGAATTTTCAGCATAATATAAAATCAAGCTTACAGAGAAATTGTACCAAAAGAATTAGATTTGATATACAAAATACATTAATCTTCTTACATACAGTTCAGGAATTTCAAAAGTACAGGAACCACCCCACACTCGACAGCCTTTTCTCTTGCTAGGTAATATATACCAAGGTTCCTCAAACAAGTCAAAGACGATTCTAGAATTTCATCACACACATCTGTTTTAATCACCTCCACTAAAGGTTTCAATCCTCCAGTTTCGAATATAATCCTACAGAAAGAAAGGTTTGAATAATGATGGTATACATACACGTGATCTGTCAATCAGTTGTTTGTGGAAAATTGTATCACAATCAGAATGATGATAATTTTCAACAAACCTTTCAGTTCTGGCTCTATCCATGCCAGTACAAATACAATAATGGTTTCTCAACTGCACCCCCTTAAGCAATACACACTGCTGCAGACTAGCTCTTTCGCTCAATACTAGAGCTATGGAAAACTGTACGGAATCATTAAAGAAAGGTTTCTTAACAAGTATTATCAGTCTTATGAATGCAAAAGGTTTGACTATTACATCACATTATGGTACTTCAAATAACCAGTACATAAAACTAAAATCTGTTTAGCTTATTTTACTGAATAACAATCAGAAAATTCTACAAATTGTTACAATGCAACTTATATAAAAAAAAGATTTAGAATCAGGTTTGTGTAAAATATGCACTACTTTCTACAGTTTCTTTACTTTTATGATATGCATGTGAATTATTTGGTATTACACTTGTACACACGTAAAGACCACCTAACAACCAAAGACTTCAATACTGATTCTTGCATAATATTGGATGTTCTTATCCAAATCAAATAAGATATACTTTGTTTTAACCACTTTTCTCTTTTTTTTTCTTCTTTCGTTACTTTTTCATCCTGATTCAACCATTAAAATGGTCCAAGCTTCAACTGTTTTCTACCATTGGTATGCAATAAATATTGAGGGTTAGTCACACTTTATAAGAACATTATTCCAGGTTTAATGCTGTCCTTCAAACTATTTCCTCCCTCGTTAATTGCACTCAGTCTTGTTACCAAGGTTACACACTACATAACAACGTTTTGGGACAACATGGAACCTACTGGCTCATCTCGGCTGTTCCATCCTCTAAACTAAACTAAAACTATTAATAAATAAATTTAAAAAAAAATCTTAAATCCAGCCTTTATCCTTCATATACTTACCAAGCCTTCTCTTAAACTCACTTAAATTTACTGCTTCTACAATATTCGAAGGCCAACCACCCTGTTAGAAAAATAAAACTGTCTTAGCGGAAGATGACTCCTACCCTACCAAAACATATAATTGGGTCCCCTAGTCCTATTATTCTCATTTTTTAAGTATGAAAAAAGATGATGCATCAACACTATCAAATCCCTTTATAATATTAAACACCTCAATCAGATTCCCTCTAACTCTTCTTTTTTTCAAGAAAAATCAATTTTAGAGATTTCAACCTCTCCCCTTATGACAACCCCTCCATCCCAGTTTCCAACAACACAATGTCTTTCCTGAGGTAAGGAGCCCAAGACTGAACACAATATTCCAAATGTGGCCTAACCAGTAACCTATACAATGAATTTATAACCTCTTTAGACTTGTATTCAATATTTTTGTAAATACAACCTAATATCCTATTTGCCCTACCACTAGTAACAGCACATTATTTGGATGGCTTTAGAGACTGATCAACTTTTACACCAAGATCCCTCCCTTTCATGACACAGTTAAGGTTATTCCCATCCAAATTATACTTACAATTCAAATTATGATAACCCACATGTATCATCTTGTATTTATTATAATTGAAACTCATTTGCCATTATTTGCCCAAATCTAAATCCTTTTGTAAAGCAGCAGCATCCTCTTCACAGCTAGTAACACCCAAGACCTTAATATCATCTGCAAATTTAAGT